CTCTCTCTCCCACACTCTCCTACTAACTAACCTACCTCTCTCTCTCTCTCTCTCTCTCTCTCTCTCTCTCTGATAATGCAGTCCGGCACATAAGATGCCGGACCAAAATTTTTGCGGTCCAGCACACTACCGCATTACCAACCTTAACTCAAATTCTAATCGGTACCGCAAAAATCTTAATCCATAGCTAGAGAGAGAGAGAGGATGGGTAGAGAGAGACATAAAAAGAAAGACAGAGAATGAGAGAGAGAGAATGTGAGAGAGAGAATGAGAGAATGGGTTTTTAATTTGGGAGAGAGAGTCACGTGATCCCAAAATAGAGGATAAGAGATAGAGTAAGGGTATTTTTGTCCTAAATCCATTGACTTTTTGACTGGGGGTGGGGGGGGTAAATATAAAGATAAACAATATTGGGGTTTAGGGTGGGATACAAAAGTTTTGGGGGTTAGGATGGCTAGAAAGTTGAATAGGGAGGACCACTTGCTGCAGTTTGTCTCCCATGGGCTTGTCTTTTGCACTATTTACCAATCCTCTTTCTTAAAAAATTAAATACATTTAATTGTCAAGAATGCAAACATGGTGTACTAGTAGTATAATTTGGATTAGAATAGCACAAAATGAGTCACAAAAAAGGAATAAGAATCACACTAATGTATGAATAATGTTTATTAGAAAATACAATTTGATTCAGCATCACAAGAGGCAGATATGTCAAATGCTGTGTGCATCTATCTACATTCATCGTTAACTTGTAACATCAAAAGCACAAATCAACTTTCGCAGAGAGAGTGCACAACAAACAAAGGGAATTCCATATGGAAATGGTAATGGTCAGTGGATTGAATACCTTGATGGTCGGAACAAGTCCCAACCTGAAAAAATCCAAAGACATAATCAGAAGCTGATCCCTTTTCCTCACCCATTACAAAGTAAAAAGAAATGATAGCACATTCTCTCAAAGAACAATTAAACAAGAGAAAACCATGCACTTTTTCCATATATTGCAATGGATGAAATCCTCGTAACTCTGACAAGTACCCCATACTTCCTATAGAAGTGCTATGTAGCGTTGTGGAAATAAATTTCTCACTGTTTCATCAAAGGTTTCATATAATGAATTTGCAACTAGCTATGATATAACAGTTACATATAGAAAGAAGTTTCTCCTCGTGAGAAGCTATTTAACTTAAGTGAATGCATTTCCAACGGCACTCATCCAAAGCGAACCAAATGAGAAGTAGTGCAAATGCAGCAAGTTTGCCCATTGTATTTCTGAAGACTCTGACGATGAAAACGTTTTAATGGTACAAATACAGCAAATTGGAACAGGATGAATCACAGAAAGGAACTAAAAGCGCTCCAACAGATGAAAATGGCAAACGACAACCATTGATCTTAAGTCAAATCATTACCCCCACTCCCCCTCTTCCAAGCTATCAAATTGATAATAGTCCCAAGTTCAAGAAAGTATATTATGCATGCAGAATCCAGGTAAACTAACAATTTCAGAAGAATATGGAATACACCCTGGAAATTTCATGGAATTGATTTGAGAGTCAAAGCAGGCAGTATTACTGCCAGCTCAGCAACCAACCAATGGATTAATCTATAGTACAAACTTGAAAAATGAAGCAAAAGCAGTTAAAATGCAAAACAGACAAGGAATTTTCATATCAGAGTAAAGTTCAAAGACGGCTATGAGATATGTTTGTACACATATAGTTTAAGAACTCAGGTGCAAATACAGCTTATGGCTACAAGGACTGAAAATTTTGATGGATAGATTTGAAAAAGATGTGAGGAATCTCCAATTGCTTTAATAGCTGTAAATATAGAAACTCAAGGAGGGCTCTACACGTACTACTCCAAGATTTGAACTAAAAAGGCTTTGAATTACCAACAATTTGGAAGAGATAAGCGACAAGAATAAGAGAAGGAGTGGACTAATACATCAGTCAAATCACTGAGTACTTAGTCATGCAAAAGAGTCAGCTAGCTCAATAGCACCCATGAGACGTGAGCAAAGGACACCTTTCTATTGCTGCATAAGTCAAATACTTCTTTCAACTTATCAGCAAGCATCCACGGGAATGGTCCCCGCCATGGTCGGTCCCAAGCCAGTCATGCCAGTCCCAGGCCCAGAGAAAGGAGGGCGGTTATGTTAGGTTGGTGGTCAACATAAAAGTTTGCCACATCTATTTCAAGAATCGTGAAGGCCGAAGCCAACCCCACATAGTTGGGATAAGGCTCAGATGATGATGATCAACGGAAATGGCCCCTTCCCAAACGTTCACTAATAGCACACAACTAATCCCCCTCCATAATGACAAAGGCAGAAAGAATACTTTTAAATAATAACAGCAATTTCAGCTTCATTGGTATCAATGATGCACAGGAAGACCAGAAAAACAAGCAAGGTATTTTTACCAACATTAAAGAACATCAACAAAATGAAACAAGTGATCATTTAAGAATCAACCATGCAAGAACCTGGTATAGATCCAATTTCTATATATTTATTCAAAATGGGGTGAGGGCCCTGCAAACAGTGGTCAGCCCAGGTTGGGAGATATCAAGGCCTACTAAAAGAAGAGGCATTTAGCCATTTCACAGATCAAGGGCTTGAGTACATACAGTTGAAGGTGAGGTATTCAGAAATTGGACAGTAAAATCGAGAATAGCAAACAGCATGAGCATTTTCTTCATTTCATCTAGTAAAGCAAGACATGACAGAATCAATTGTTGGGTAGAATGAAAACTCAAAGGCTATGTGTTTCACACAATAGAAAGCACAAGAAGCACCATAAATGATAGGAGAAATGGCAAAAATCCCAAATGTCCATCATATTTTGTAGAAAAGCCGTTTTCTAAAATAAGGACCATTCATTTGAGAAACCCTCTCTGATTCCCCCTTATTTCTCATTTCCCCAATTTTCAAAATAAGGTTTGTTTTTTGAGAAATCAGCCACATTTTACCCTTTTTCTCTTTTTTTTCATTTTTTTACCCACTTCCCATTTCGATTTTTGTTTGTCCTTCCACTTTTATCCTCCTTTCTCTGTTCTCTCCCCATTTCTTTATTTTCCATTCCCCCTTTCTCATTTTCTCCCAATATAACAGCCATTACCATTAAATGTCCTCTCTGTTGTACCACCATAACAGTGTTTTTAAATTCTTCATCAACAGTCTAAGCATACCTTTCAGCCATGGCAGCTATGGTGCCGAAAGCTTGGATAAGGGAGCGATCAGGGTTGGAGCCACGATTTTGCCATCGACCAAGAGATGAAGAGAGGAAGTCACCCTGTGCACCATTGGGTTTTGAAATCACAGTTGAGAGGCCCCCATCACTGAGCAGTGGGTTGTATGCAGCCCCGACACGAACTGGGTCGGTGTCGCCACTCTCATTCGCAAAAGTCCTCCACTCTGAGGTCTCATCAATGGAGTGTGCCTCCAAAACCAATCCACACTCTGAACACACTGTGTCACCAGCCGAATGGTCAAACACCACCTCTGTCTGAGTCTTGCACTCTGGGCAATGCATCTCCGTCATCTTTCTCTGTAAACTAGTGAACCTCGAAATAATAATCCCCTCCCTCTCTACCTGAAATGCTCCGATTATGATGCTTCTAAAGACAACAGCCCCTTTCTCTCGTCTGCTTCTAAAGACAACAGCCCCTTTCTCTCGTCTCCAATTTTATGTAAATCCTTAGAAAGCAAAGGGCCCTAGGAACACAGGTTCCCGGTGACCTTGATCTTAGCAAAGATTCGGCAGTGTTTGCCTTAATCAAGACCCAAATCTCCAAATCACTAATTCAACCAGATCTCTAATCAAGACCCAATTGGGTGACCTGTAGCTAATAACTCCTGTCACACAGATTCTACCTTGGTATGGAAGCGTTTGCCCTAATTTACACAAATCTCCAATCACCAAATGACAGTGTTTTGTCCAATTTCCCAAATCTCCCCAATGTTTGTCCAATTTCTCAAATCTCCCCAATGCAACTAGTCCCTTTCTCTCCTTCAGCTGGCAACTCCCGCAATCCAGTGTTTGCCCTAGTGCCCCCAATATTCCAGTGATTCTTCAGGACTCATTTCTCTCTCTGTCTCGAATGGTCAAGTTATCCTTCGGACAACAGCTCCTGCAACACGGTGTTCGCCCTAATATCCCAAACCCCTTACTCTCTCTATATCAGCCTCCAGTGATCCTTAAGTTTAGTCACTGCAATACAGAATTTGCCCTACTGTCCTCCCTCAATAAATCACTCTCTCTCTCTATCTCCAGCTTCTCTGTTTGCCCTAATTTCTCCAGACCTTTCTCACTCTCCTTTACCCAAATCTTTTTCGCTTCTTCAGACCCCCTCCCTCAATCCCCCTCTCTCGATATATCTTTGCCCTAATTTTCTAGGACTCAGAGATCTCTTTCTATCTTTGCCCTATTTCTCTGATATTTTTCCCCTAATTTGCCTTCTAGGGCTCGGATATCTACTCTCTATCTTTGTCCTAATTCTATATGATTCAGAAACCATTCGTCAGGCCCCTGTCTCTCTCTATCTTTGCCCTAATTCTCTAGGATTCCGAAATCACTGGTCAGGACCCGTCTCTATCTATTTTCGCCCTAATTCTCTAGTATTCAGATGCCTCTCACTCTCTCTCGGATTTTCTAGGTCTCTCCTCTCTCTCTCTCTGTTTACACCGACCTTCATTGTTTGTCTGCAAATTTGTTTTTCCTTGGGTACGCGTTCTCGCAAAAGGATATAACAAGCGATTGAAGAAAGAAGGCGTCGGTGGGATATTTATAGATCCGACGCAAGGCGTGGGCGGTTTCACCCTGTAGTGGCGGGAAGTTGGCTATGAAACAAGAAAATCAGGGTTAATGGGACATGGATCAGGCCTTTTCTCTTTCGGCTTTTTTTTTTTTAATTTAGTGGGGTACCGTTTCTTCGAGTAGATTTGGAGTTGGCTGTTTTTATTTATTTATTTATTTTTTTTTTTAGTTCGTTTCTTTTTTTGTTTTTTTTTTGGTGGTAGTGGTGGTGGCGATAGCGACGGTGGTGGTGGTGTTAGCAGTGAAAAATAGAAGTCACTTCTTATCTTTGAGATATAGAATACCCCTCAGTTTACATCCATTTTAATATAAGAGAGTAATATTTGAACGGTGTGGTTTCTACAAGGCTGCAACCTTATAATTCAATTAAGGTGCACTTCTAAATTTTACAATAACATAAATAATTCTTAGGATTTTATTTTTATATTTAATTAATGGGTTTGTTTAGAGTTAACGATCCCTCAAAATATAAAGGTTAAAGTTAAAAGCGGTTGTGATGGGTGTATATATCAAAAAGATGATTACTTTTTGTTTAAAAAATTATTTTAACATATAAGTCAACTATTACACAAGATAAATTTGAAATTTTTCCAAAAGTACAACAGCATTTCAAAGGTTAGGGTTCTAGCAATTTATTTATAAAGTACCCTTGTTTTTTTAGTAAAAATTTCAAATTTACTTTTTATGGAGATGACAAAAGTACCTTTATCTTGTAGTAATATTTATAAAATCACTCTTACTTAATGATTAAGATATCACAAAAAATAACTTTTTTAAAAGAACATACTACAAAATTAATAGATCCACCCTCCACAACTCTCTCTATCTTTTAACCTTTATAATTTCAAAGGTTGTGAAGTTTAAATTATCCCTTAATTATAAAATTTTAAACTCAAACAATGGTTAAAATTACATAGATCTATAGAAATATGAAAAATCTTGAAAATGGACAATTTAAATAATATGTTGCGAGATACACTATATCTATATCTCAAAATCGTTTTTTTTTCATATTCATACATCTCAATGTCGAGATGATCAATTAGAGAGTTCTTCAACATTAAAACAACATTTGTCAAGGGATTTTTGAGGCCCATCTTAATTCTAGGTATTAAGATTGCAACCTTATATATATATTTTTATATATTCCAAAAACATACTTACCATGTTTAGGGGATTAGGGGAAGAGAGTGGACAAGACTGATTGAGAGAGTAGCGTGGGGTAGATCTTTTATTGGACCCAGACCTTATTCGTGGGTCCAAAACTTGTACTTGTACCCGGACCCATGTCGGGTACATCTGGTGGGTATGAGTCGGGTCCATTGCCACCCCTAAATAAAAAGAAAATCAAGGAGATAGATAACATCCTAAAATTTAGAGAAAGAGTTTAGGGTTGGATTTCGTTATCCTAATCCAATGCTTCTTTTAGAGGTGCTATAATACTTATCTTGAATAAGTTTTTTTTTTCTAATTTAATAACTAAAGAAGCTTTAATGTTTATCTTGAGAGCAATGATTTCATATAAGGGTTGTATAGTAATATAATACAACAATCTTCAAAAACTATGTTAAGGCTATTTATTTCATCTAAATTTTAACATCTAAATATAATACAATTTTCATATAAGGTAATATAATACTCTTTTCATTCTAACAAACAATAAAAATTAGAAAACGCAACATCGAAAGTATTTGTTTAGCCCAATAAACATAGGCCGTCCTATTTTATTTATTCTAAATTTTTATTTTTTTAACATTTTGTTATTTCTTTTACTTGAAAAATAGTTTAATAAAATATATAATAGCCTTGATTAGTACAATTGAATGCAGTCTACCTTATTGTGGGTTCTAACTAGTGTTTCAAGAGCCGTGGGGTAGATTCTCCAACCCACATATGTGTGCCAAATAACCGAACTGCTATGGCTTGGATAAGTCCAAATTGACAATCTAGAAATATATTTGAGAAAAACAAACGAGTTTGTGGTTAGACATTTATAAAGAACTTAAAAAAATATAAGATAATCTCATTAAAAGATGTATTTTCGGTATCGAAACATTTATCATAACGTAAAAGTATATTTTTCACTCTCAATATGAAATTGAAAGCTCAAAAAATGGCACAAATCTACCATATCTATGAACATTAAAAAATCTTGAAAATAGACGGTCTAAATAATGTGTTACAAGATGCAATATTTTTAAAACTTAAAAAATTATTTTTTCTTTCGTATATATGTATATCGAGGTCAAAATGATCATTTGATAAATTTTATAGTGAGGAAGCAACCTTTTTCAATAAGTGGTTAAGATGCACCACACTTACCGGTATAAAGTTGGCGCCTTTATGTAAACTTTTTCCGCATAACATAAATGGTCTACTTCCTAGGGAAAAGAGGCATTTAAGAAGACTTTTTCAATATAAAATTGTTACATGGTGTTCAATATTTTCACGTGACTTTACAAACATTCACAAATACCAATTGAATTTTCTCCTTACCTGCGGAGGTTAGTTAAAAATAATAATAATAATAAAATAAAATAATAATAATAATAATAATAATAATAATAATAATAAATAAAAAAGAAAAAAAAAGGCCACATTGCAAAGTTTCGGGATCAGCAACACATGTAATTTTGGTTTGACCAGGGGTACAATATACTCTTACGGAGAATTTACATAGGGTTAGCAACCGATTAGGTCCAGCTTGACCTGGACCTAGACCTTGGCCAGAATAATATTATGATCCAGGATTCGGATTCGAGCCTAATCGGTCCGGTGCAAAAGTTTGACTTATGCCCGTACTCGTCGGGTTCCAAATGTGGTCAGGTCCATTGTCCGCCTCACCATAAAGTCTATTTATTTATTTTTGCTTTTTTATTTTACCATTATATACCCATATTATGGGCAACAAGATTACAATCATCGGACATTAGATTTCAAGCCATCTAACTTCTCGCTTAATACTCAAATGATTACAAGTTCTTATTATATACTATCTTTAATATATCAAAATGAATAGGGCTTGAAGTATTTTATTTCCAACAATTTATGAGTGCGGGTTAGGTCCAACCGACCCCAACTTTAATCCGAGTAGAGTTTGAATCCGAGTTTTTGACCTAAATCCGGATCCGATCCACCGGACCCAAATATTGGACCCATACCCGGACCCATATTAGATATAGCCGGTGGATTCCGGGTCAGGTCTGGATTCACTGCCATCCTAAATTTACCGCAAGAAGCCGGAACCAACGACCAGTTGGACAGTTACCATGTATCAAGATCGAAGTAGAGAGAGAGATATCTTCAATATTATGGGTCTAGAGAGAGAAAAGGACGAGTTCCTCCTGAACTAGAGAGAGAGAGGATCAACATTATAGGTCTAGAGAGAGAGAGAACACAGAAGGATGGCTATCAGCTACGAAGGAGAAAGGACGAGTTCCTCGTAAACTGAAGAACGTGTGATGCTCGTTACGCAAGCACGAATCAGGGTTTACGGCGTTCATGTCATCCCTCTTCCTCGTACTTGTTCATCACCATTTTGCTTCTGGTTCTTCGATACGAGGTTGAGCGAAAAATTCCCTTCTCTCAAACCCATCTCATGGAAACCTATTGCCATTAAAGCTTCGTTTTCTTCACCTACAAAGCCCAATACCCATCTTCTGAACCTGGCTTCTTCCTCTAAAGCACAAAGCAAATGGTGCGTTTACCTCATCATCTCAAGCGACCTGAGCAAGACATATGTTGGGGTCACCGTAAATTTTGACAAGCGGTAATTGGGTCGAAACTTGTGCTAATAATCCAACATATATATGGATCTTTCCCATTTTCTAGATCTCAGTTTTGATAGGATTAAAACACCATAACATCGAAGTTTTCATGAGTCCAAGTTTCAGAGGATTAAAACCCACAATTGTTTTTTGACATTTTTTACGCCGAACCATAGTTTCACAGGATTACAGTCTATAATTTACTGGAACCCTAGATTTCAGCTAAAGCCAACAATTTTTTGGAATTTTTCAATGCCAAACTATAGTTTTCGGAGAATTGAATCCCAATATGTTTTGTATTTCCCTATCATAGACAGAGGATTAATTGTTTATTGTTCGCAGATATTTGGTCAAATATAACGCCTTATGATTTGGAATTTTGATTTGGTTGTGATATATTGAAGAAGCATGTGATGGTATTCAAAGTTCGATTATCTGCACGGAACCCACAAGTGTTTGGTGTTTCCCATGTAATATGCTTGTTTTCAGAGATCAAATTGATCCTAAAGATTGCTAGATTTTAGTATCTCACATGCTTGTTTCTACTCGCATGAATCATTGGATTGGTTAAAGACTGTTAAAGGGTTGTTCTGATTCGTGAGACCCCATAAATTTCCACAGAAGTTCTATTAAATGGTTATAGTTCTTTTGAGTTATGCATTGGATAGCATATTTTTCTTTTATGGATAAGCAAATTGATTCATTAGGATAATTCTGTACTGCTGTTTAATGATACCGGTGCAATGAACTGATGAGGATATGAATGAGAAATTAGGGGTTAATGAAGGAAATTTAGCCCCTCCATTAGGCAGAGGCAAGCCAAATGCGACTATAACTGCGAGAGAGTACCCCTTTAATAGAAACAGAACTTAGAGAAAATTGTACTGTCCTATGGATTTTAGGCAGGATAATTTGAATAATGGAAATAATAATTTTGGATGTTCCATGGCCAGAGAATCTCTATGCACCAAAGATTTATACAAAATGTGGAATCTCCTTCTATCCCCATAGATTGAATACTTTTGTTTAGCTATGATGGTAAGACCTACACCTAATGCTTTCGAGTCAAGTGAAATTTGAGTCAAGCTGCAATTTAATATCAGAAAAGTGTGAGGGATAGGTTGTTTATCATCTCCAAGATGTTTTTATCTGTTGCACTTTGACCTTTGATGACCCACAACATTAATAGCGTAATCTTACCTCTTTTTTATTTGACATGTACAGAGAATACCAATTCTTTTGTGAACATGCTTACACTGACCATGAAATGGATCAGACGAAGTGGTAATGTAATAGGCTGAATGTGGCAGGCCATTAATTGTAGTATTTGAGTAATAAAATCTGCAGGACCGATCTGTTTTTACGGGTAGTGCAATTGAGAATGGAAGGAAAGGATAGCAGTCTCTTTCAGAGTTGATCAAGGTCTACAAGATGGCTTCATTTATGAAAAGGGGGACCTGTATGATGGAATGAGTTGCCCTAGTGACAAAGGGCTGATCTACATGTGTAATATTGATACAGCCATTAAGATTAATTGTGAAATCTTGGATCTGATTCCTGTTGATAATAGCTGAGAGTGCAACTGGAATCATAATGATAGAATATGGCTAATAGGCGAGTCATTCTATAATTGGAAGTTGTTACTTGTCAGAAGTCTTGGTAGCCCATTGTTTAATGTGGAAGATAGATTTGGAGGCTGGTATGTAATTAGGGGCCCCTAATTTAATGAGAATGGACTATCAAAGTTTGTCAGCTTTCTAAAATTGGCCTCAACAAGCTCAAGCACATCTGCAGTTACAGTTTCAATAGTACCTCGGGTGTCTTGCTGTACATGTGTAACTGTGAACATTTTGATTCTCTAGCATGGCTTCTTGATTTAGAATGTCAGAATTTGGAACTACAGTAAGGGGGTTGGTAAATTTGGTATCTTAGGAGGATATTTTGGATAGAATGCAGAGCTTAGTGACAATTATCGCCGATAATATGAAATTATCGGATTTTTCTCACAATAATTTTGCAAGGAGGTATTACCTGTGATATTATCCCAATAACATGAAATTAATGAGATACTTAAGAGTTCCCTGATAAAATTGTGTTAAGTAATCTTCCCGATAATATCGGACTTGATTTAAACTGTCAAACTGCCTAAAAAAGACAGTTTTACCAATATAGAATTCAATTGATTGCTAATTCCTGTATAAAGGGGATTGCACTGAATTTTTTTTATTTTTTATGGTAATCATGAAGTAAAAGGATTATGTTAAAAAGACGTTTTGGTCTTTTAGTCAATTAATATATAAAAAAAGAAGGAAGATTTAACTTTTTTTATGGTCAACATGAAGTATGAAAGGTCTCCAAGAATATTGGGTTTTTTCACAGAAAAGATTTTATTTCATGGATGAGATCACAGAAATTTACCTCATCTCTCAATCTTTTAGTTGATCTTTTATTTTGGTAACAATATATAAATATTGGTTTATCAATTATAATTAACTGAAAGTCTTTTTTATAACAACTATATTTGATGCAATAGATACTATAAGTTTTATTTGTTATACATTTATACTTTTAGTTAATATTCAGTTATTATTTATTAAAATAAGTGTAGCTTTTTAATAGTTTAAATTCCTGGTAAATTTCTGATAAAAGGGCTCGCCACAATAATAACTCGACAAAAACACTTGCCGATAATATCCCGATAATGATAATTGTCACTAAGATGTAGAATTGAGAGATTGAAAGAGCAACTAAATGTTCAAAATTGTCATGTCAGAGACTGCAGGTATGCCCTTGGAATCATGCTCCTGCTTGTGGTAATTGGAATGGGATTTAGAAATCTTTTATAAGTAACATTTTACCAGAATCCATGGCTAACAGACTGTTTCCATAGCTCTAAAGAAGACCTTGCAAGTCGAGCTCTAGATTTGCTTCTTGTGGAAATGTTCTTTATTAAATGTCATTCATATAATTAACTTTTTTGGTGAAATTGCACGCGAACATGTTTTTTTTTATAATTATGCCTTCACAAACATCTTTGTTAGTTGTTGCTCATATTCCTAAATTGTTTTAATATTCTTTTTGTTTATATTATGAAATTTGTGTGCAGTTCCCTATCATAGTTGTAGGAAGAATTTTTGTTTGCTAATTTAGCGAGGGCTTTGTTGAATCCACCTTTTGTATTATGGAGAATAATTTACAAAGAAAGTCCACCTGTGACTTCTCTTTGATGAAGTGAGGTGGTTCCTTCCAAGAAACAAAACCATCCATAGTGAGGCCTCCTCCAGCTAATCACTGTGACTCGCCTCCTTGATAGGTGTGAGTGAAGATAACATCATGTGGTAAATAAAAAATCACCTATATCTGTTGTGCATGCATCTCCACCTTGATTATGCCCTTCTATTGACCCCATTGACCGCACCTTCCAATCTGATTCCACTCAAACATTGGTATACTGCACGTAACCATGTGTTTGCACTGAAGCAGGAACAATGGATTATTTTTCTTCATTTCTTTTATTACTTCCGTTGTCTTTCGAGAATTGTTTTCACCTTTGCTTTCCAATGTTTCTATGGTCTAGTTAGGTGGCACCTGCATTCACTAAAAATGAGTAAAATATAAAGTTTACATTACTGAGTATGCAGTTATTTCCTTTTCAATTTTCCCAGAAGATCTGAGTTGCCTTTTTGGAGATGAGAAGCTGGTTTAGTAGAGCCCACTTCAAACTTTCTTCCTCGCCACCTCAACCACCTCCCTAACAAACACCTTGGCATGGGTGAAGCCCTAGAGGGCCATTTATTGTTCAATGTACAGCACCTAGCCTTGCCATGTGCTGCCCTCATGGACCTGATTGTTGAGTACTCTATATATAATAGGATAAACCTCATTATGGGTCAGGTGGTGGGGATGACCAGGCCTTCATCTCCTTAGGGTTTGGATCATTATCATACGCATGTCCCACCTGATCAATGCACACAACGTTATGTGTTTCTCTGTGATAAGTTACAGGACGATTGTGGCTTTCATTGTAAGCATTCAAGTTTGTGTACTCTTTGTAATGATTTCTATTGTCTTGTAGATTGAAACAACATAATGGTGAACTTAGAGGTGGGGCAAAAGCATCACGTGCGGGAAGGCCATGGGCTCGTGTATGCACAATCGAGGGATTCATAGACCGAAGTGAAGGTATTGCTAGATGTTAAATCTTAATTAGAAACCACTGTTTCTTCCTTTATTTATGAGACTTGGCCCTCTCATCAAAATTATTTTCGAAGTAACAGATGGCCTGTGATTACATACCATGGTGGATTAGTTTGTTTTTTGGATAAATTAAATGGGATTCGATTTGCAAAATTTGTTTTTGAGCTTCATCTACTCTGACATTTCAATTGATGCATTTCTGCACCAATAAAGACAATGTTATTTTCTAAATGGTTAGTTCATGAACACTTTCAAAGCTTGTTAGGAGAGAACTTTACCCACAAGATAATGCATCCTGGCTTTATAATGTTGCATATGGGGGATAGATTTTCATCCATCTAATGTAGATATTTTAAGTTTATATTTTTGTAATTCACCCTGAAGATTAGTTGCTGGATACAAATATTCTTTTGGATTTTTTTTTTGTAAAATATAAATATTAGATACTTCAAGCATGCCTTCTTTCTGAACTTCTAGAGTTCGCGTGGTAACATAACTGTGATTGTGATATAGGGCTTGACATGAACTTTGGTGAGGATTTGTTGTCACCTTTAATATTCTTACCTTCTTCATTTAAAGGAAACAAAGAAAAAGGAAATGGGAAAATTATCAAACGCCCATGTGAGATGAACTATTTAACATTGTACATATATTCTTTGATTTAATTTCAAAAGACCCATAAAATACATGATCATGAGTTGGAATTTGTCAAAAAGTGTAAAATGCTAAATAGTGCATCTTTCACTGGTATTATACCATTTTGATATTATCTCCCCAAAGAAATTCTTGCCTTCTCTGGTTTTATTTCAAAGGATATTTGGTCCTTAAATCATTGCTTTTATACCATTACTTAATGAGACTGTTTTGAAATCCACAACAAACTGAAAGGCAAGGTTACTGAACCATTTTTAAGTGATAATCACAGGAAAAAAATTCTGGCTATCATTTTGTTTTGCTTATTTTGTCTTAGTACGGTACGTTTGTGTAATTGCTTATTTATTTGGTCTAATGTTTCTTCTTTCTTAGCTTGTCAGTTTGAATCAAAATGGAAGACGATTTCAAGGAAGCTTCCTCGAAAGCGAAACCACGCCAATGAGGGAGAGCAATCTGATCTTCACTTTATTCCAGTGGTAAAGCACAGAGAAACAGCTTTGGATAGGGTCAGAAAGTCTGTGGACTGTAGCCACCTGAATATTTATTGGAATTTGGATACACCCTAGTTCTCCGAACTTAAAAACCGAAGTATACTGTAGTCCAATGGACTACGATATATGACACTCCAAGGCCACTTCCAGACTTGTTCCTATATCGATTGTCTGGATATTAACTGAAGCGAACCGCCAATAAACAACAAACAATTAATCTCAAACTATATCTCCAGATGGCAGTGGAAAAGGGTTATTGCCATGGTTCTTTGGGCTATCGTAAACAGCTTGCTTTCTCGTTTCATGTTCAATACTTGAGCTAAAATGGGAGCTCTGGATTCCTTCTTGTGATTTGGGTGCAATTCCCCAAGGTTTTATTAGTCTCCACTTATTCTTTTGTAAATTCAAGATATGTAAGCTTCAGTTAAATCAATACAAATTCTCTACATTCGTAGTTTCACCCTGTTCTTTCTTTTCTTCATGTACACTTGAGCAATAAGATAAAAGACCACTTTAATTTAAGACATGCTCCAAACTGCCCTGAGAAAATAAACAACGGAATACTGAACCATTGTATGATTGTCTCATTTGTATCTTCTTATTTTTGGAATATTATTGTTTTTCATATTGTGTGCAGTAATAAGCTGGTAATCTGAGTGAGGCATCTGACTCAGTTTCCCAAACCTCTTTTCGTAAAATTCCCACAGCTCTGACCTTTGATTTAAAGAAGTTTTCACAAAAATACTCTAGTTATAAAAAAGCCTCAAGGTCATCAAAGATAGAAGACCACTTTAATTTAAGACATGCTCCAAACTGGCCCGGGATAATAAACAAAGAGATACTGAACCATTGTATGCATTGTCTCATTTGTATCTTTTTCTTTTTGGAATATTGTTCTTCATATTGTGTGCAGTAATAAGCTCGTAATCTGAGGGAGGCATCTGACTCAGTTTGCCAAACCTCTTTTCGTAAAATTCCCACATCTCTGACCTGTGATTTAAAGAAGTTTTCACAAAATGCTCTGGTTATAAAACAAGGCTGCAAGGTCATCCACGAGAAACATGGTGAAAAGTTCAGGAGGTTGAAAGCATATGACGTACCAGTAAACAAGAAATTGGAATGGTTCATGTTTCCCATAGATCTCTTCAATATCTTTCTGAATAGTTCCTATGGTGCATTGCTTTCTGGCATGAAACTGCATAAACAAATTAAAAAGCATCACCCATAACAGAGATAGCAGTAAATGTATGACACATGATGACAGTTTATCTTACACAGTTATAACAACCTGTTCTTCATAGGGAAGAAACTGAGGATTCATCAGTCATCCATTCACCATGGAGATCAACTACAACAGTAGAGATCATCTGTACTTCCTGGCAATGGATGTTCACCTGACAAGAACTAATCTCCACTGTCTATCGCTGAGATTGGAAGGTGGGTAACCTGCTGTGCCATACAGCACACAAAAGCATGTGTATGATATATTTCTCAGCCTGTTTAACCTCCCTTCCTGTAGTTATTACCTAAAATAAACCCTTAAATCCAAGGACAGCCCATGGCCCCCTTCAAATTAAAAGAAAAAGGCCTTTAACCACCTCCTTACCTTTTTTGTGTATCCAAATTACAATATTTACCCTTATTACTTTTAATAATACTGTTGTCCAAAAAAGCTACCCTTCTCTTTATCATTCCCGTAGGAAGAGGCTTAAATGTCATTTTCTTTTAAACTAGAGGGGGAGGGGGTCCATGGGCTTCCCATAGACCCGAGGACTTATTTGAGATTACATTTATAGAGAGGGTCCTTTAATAATCTACACCGACCTGTTTCAGATGCCTAAGGGTTTCAGTATCTGCAGGAATCCTCTGGTAAATTCCCATGCTCATGAGCACGTTGTTGCACACATAAGGACCAACACCATATATGCTAAGCAATTGCCTCATCAATCCATCCAGATGAATCGGGTCTTGTTGACTCAAAACCTCAATCTTTCCCAAATCAAGTGCGCCTTCCACAATGCTTTGAGCAAGCTTTACTATGCGCTTTGATCTAAATCCCACTTTACAACGTTTCTCTAAGATCTTCTCATCAAGATTAGCAAGTTCTTCGGGACATGGAAAATTCCCAGCCTCCAGAAAAAAACTTAGTGTTTTATTTTCTAATAACTGATTATCTAGTATCGCCCCATCCCCTAACTTTTCTTCAGAGACTTGATCATAGTTTAACTTCCCATTTCTTCCTTCTTCAGATGAGAACATAGTTGGGCTATTTTTGGAGAAGTCCTTAGCAAGATCTATGGGTCTTAAGCTTTCATCAGCTGCTAAATGAGTTTCATTTTCTGAGAACTTTGTCATTAGATTCATGATGATATTCTGATTTGGGTTTTTCCGCCTCTTCTTGTGCTCTAGTTGCATCGGAGTTACAGGAGAAAGATTAACACTTTTTGAAAAGTCAGTGTCTTTATTTGATTGTCTGAGAGAGTTTCCATTCAGTTCTAGTTGAAGCTCACACAAAGCTCTTGCCATAGACAATGTCCTCGTCCACCTAAACAACAGATGAAAAGCAGTATATACATATCAGAATTAAAAATACAAGTACAAGAAAGAGCGTCTCACTAGAAATTTACAGTGAGGAAATTTAAGAAATTTGAAGTGTCATTTCAATCTTAATCAGCTTATAATAGAGTGAAGAATTGTTCTTTGATGCACTTATAGGTTGTTCAGAGCATTGAAATGGAGTTGAAGCATGAATCACATAAGATGGGGAAAAGTATTAAAAAGTTTCATATGCATTATAAAAATGAAGTTCCATGTGCAGTATAACATTATTTATCTCTCAGTACACAAAAGAAATCAAATAGGTTGCAGCCACTCACACCATCGTGAATTATGGAGAGATGTAAGATACAATTTCAACAAATAGAGTAAATACATGAATAATTTATAGAACCCTGCTGATAAACAGCATAGAAATTGCATAACTTGACCAATGTGCAGTTTTATTAGGTGAAGTTCTAACAAAGAACATTAGAATAATATAAGCTTCATATGTCACCGGCATGAGGGTAGAGACTGTGATGGAGGAGACATTAAGAGATAGTAGAAGGGTATTAAAGGTTAGGGAAGGAGTGTTTTCTTTCTTCGTCTTTTTTTGTGTGTTTTTGGGTGGTGTTTTCTTTTTTTCTGGTTGGTGTTAGAGAGTGCGGGGAGGGGAGGGAGGGGTGGTGGTGGTGCGGAGGGTTGGGTTGGGAGGTAGTCTAGCACTTTTCTTTTCTGAGAAACATTGCCATAGCAATTAGCTTAAAGATCATGTAAATAACAATATTAAAAGCGATATGGATATCTTGTCAAGCGCACTGCAATGAATTTTTCTAAGATTTTGCTTTACCTGGTGAAAATGGCGAGGAAGGAAGAAGAGAGGCTGGTTGTTGCAGCTGAGCGGCTAAGCTGCATAGAGAGGGGTGAAGCAGGCAAGCGGCTGAGGTGCGAAGAGAGTGGTGAGGAGAACTTTTTTTTAGGGTGCAGTTTTTTCAGGAACTACAAATTAAAACTTGACTTTTCAAGTTCCGTGGTTTTCCATGGAACTTTTTTTATGAGTAAAGGTGGGAACATGACTTTTTATCAACAAAAAACATGAATAGTAACAGGTAAGTTCCATCTTCTTCCCCCTAACTTCCAGTTATCAAACGTGCCCTAAGATAATAAAACACACCGTCAAAAACCATACTGCGGGCATTTGTTTGACACTAATTTTTAAATATGCCTTTTTGTTATGTTGAACAATCTCAAGAAAAAAAAAAACCCGAAACGCACTTTAAAATTTTTTTTGTTCACCCAATAAACATAAGACATCCATTTGATAGGGCGATTAAATGGCCTTAGAGGGAATCTTTTATATACCAAAATTTGTAGATAGTTGTGTCATCACTAGATCAACAATTTTAAACAGCTGAAAATTGATCTTGAATTCTAAAAGGCCTAGATCTCAATGTCCACCAAATGAACGATTTGGATACATAGTTGGTGAGGGACCCATTTTGAACTTTTCTAGGGGGCAAATTCAATTTTCTTCTGTATGGCCGTGTGCAAATTTTGCGATCATACAATACCAAAAACATGTTTGTTCAAAAGAGCAGTTTCACTATATTACAATGAAACAGTAAAATCGAATCATTCAATATATATATATATATATTTTTTCTTCCATATAGATAAGTATATAGATAGATGGAGAGAGAGAGAGAGAGAGAGAGAGAGAGAGAGTAGTTGTTACGAGTAACTACTACTAACGTTAGTAGGTAGTATTACGTTAGTTACTTTACTACTTACTAACTTAATTACTACTATACGTAACTTCCTTAATTATTTAACAAAA